GGGACTGATGGGAACTGGGAGTCCATCTGTGAACTAAATGATATTGGAGAGCAAAATATAGAAGGTTCCCTGGGGGGTTTGCCAACAGAGTTGCCAGTACTGGTCTTGATGGGCCAGTGATCTACTTAACTGTAAGGCATGTTCAGATGTGTTTTTTACAGGAGCACTACTATTTAAAGCATTTGCTGAGCTTAAATGCCAAAATGCTCTAGCTTGAAGTAGTGTGTCTGCTGCCTACAAATGAACTGCCTATATTACAATGAAATAATCCTGTCAGTCTAAAAGGATGCAGAAGGTTCGTGTTAGTGGCACACCAAAGTACATGAGAGCAAAAATTACGTTAATGTTTTAGAAAATGTCAGCCCATGAGTCGATTATTGGAAAGTAAAACCATTGCTCTGTGTTAGGTTTTTTTAAAAAACGTTTTGACTTGATTTGAAGAAAGTTGTTGATCACACAGTCAAAAACAGGATGGCCTGTACTGATAGGAATGCATTGGGTTGTGCATCGATCACCACTTGAAGCATGTCCAGTTTATGGCAATATGTTGTGATTGCAATAACAAATTCCCTAAATTATGTAATCACATTTAGATCACTTTTCAGAAAGTTCACATGTTCCATAAATGTAGCATTAAATGATTGTGTTTAATGTTTACTGCTAAATTAGTTTGTTTGCTTTTGAACTGTGTTACCTTTAACATGTTTGCTTCCTGCTGCTCAATGCAAAATTTACTGAAAGTTGATCTACCCTATGTTTTTCCCCCTTACTGAAAGGACTGTAGCGATTAGACTTACTTAGCCAAGAATGCTGACCAGCACATGAAGCAGCAGTTCACTATGCTGTAAAATATGGGGAGATGTATGCCAGTAGTTGTTTAAATAAATTAGTGCTAGCTGGCCAGCATATGTTGTTCTGGGAAGACATGTTTTTCCAGGAAAGATTGACCAGCAATACTGATGGGCAGTGTGATGCCCTCTTTGCTTTCCTGTGCTATAGTGCTTGGTTTGATTTTATTGCATTGACATCTGTGCAAGAACCATCTTTGTCTTGTGGCCCACTGCGATCTGGACTAATTGGGGAAAGGATTGCCTGTTTTGAGTAGATAAGATAAGCCTTTCAACCCTTCCAAAGTTAATTCTCTGGCTCATTTAAAAACAGACCTGATAGCAAACCCCCCCCCACTTGCATGGGTTAGCACTTTTATTTACCGTATTTTTTGCACCATAACACTCACTTTTTTCCTCCTAGAAAGTAAGGGGAAATGTCTGTGCGTGTTATGGAGGGAATGCCTACGGGTGGCGGGGGGATCTGCTGCAGTCGTGAGCAGAGGATCCATGGTTCCCCTTCCTTACCTCCTCCGTGGCTCACTTTGAAACAGCAAAGCGGGAGAAGAGCCGCTGAGTGGGGAGGAGAGAGGGACAGAGAGCCTGCTTCTTTAAAGGAGCAAAGCGGGAGAGGAGAGGAGCTGCTTACACGAGTGTAAGCGGCTCCTGTCCGGTTGGTTCCTTTAAAGCAAGCAGGCTCTCTGTCCCTCTCTCCTCCCCACTCAGCTCGCTAAATAGCAGCAAAGTTTTTCAGCTCGCTAAGCCGGGGATGAGCGGGGAGGAGGGAGAAAAGCAGAGCCTGCTTGCTTTAAAGGAGAGGAGCCTTCTCCCCTTATACCCCTCTTCTTCATTATTAGCAGCATCCTTCTCCACCCATCCCACGCATGCTCCTTGTCCCTTGAGTGCTTTTCCTTCCCTCCCCACTTAAAACGTGGTTACAAAGCACGGATCCACATGGATCCTCAGGATTTTTGCACTGGGTCACCCCAAATTCACCATCAGATCACATAGCATGTCCATGGCTACATCTTGCACCAAAAAAATCACGCACCCACTGTTGCCTGGGGCCGCATTGGTGAAAAAAAGGTGGTTACAAAGCATGGATCCACATGGATCCTCAGGATTTTTGCATTGGGCTACTCCAAACTCACTGTCAGATCACATGTCTGTGGCCACAGCATGAACCACAAAAATCATACATCCACTGTTTCGTTTAGAATATTTTTTTCTTGTTTTCCTCCTCTAAAAACTACGTGCGTGTTATGGTCGGGTGCGTGTTATAGAGCGAAAAATACGGTAATTAATAAGCAATTTACCAATTTACCAAAGTTGTGCAGGGACTTAAAAGCCGGACTTTTTGCCCTCTTATTCACTAGCATGAGAGGTAAATGGTAGTACCTGATGACCTTCTTATGACCATATGACTTGTGGCCTTAAATTGAAATACAAGTACTTGATAGGAGTCAGCAGTACTAATTTGCAGTATTTTAAAATACAAGCATTATTGTATAAAGCAGTAGATTATTTGACCCATCCAGGGTAAAAAATTGACCAGTTTCACAGACGCAGGAGCCACTTACACACAGTACATTTGTCTTACCAGGATTCAAGTTCAGCTTGTTTTTCCTCATCCATCTCAACATTGCTTCCAGGCACCAATCCAGGGACTGCATGTCTTCTCCCAATCCAGATGTAATCGAGAGATAGAGCTGAGTGTCATCAGCATATTGATGGCACCTTGCCTCAAAACTAATGACCACTCCCATCAACTTTAGATTTGCATTTCTCAAACTGCAGCCCCAGTTTCTTCCAGTACAATAAACTGCTTTTGAAACTTGGGAGTTTCAAAAGCAGCTTATGGTATAGTGGTTTGTTCTTTGCAATGCAAAAGAGATACCTCATTCAATGCATTTTGTCAAGTGTAAGGTAGATTTCTGTATTATAGCCTTAACTTTTACATATTTGCTAATGTCAGAGGTGGTGTAAAATCTATTTACAATAAGTAAATATGCCTGTTTAAATTAAAGCCAGGGCACTCAATCTCAGAGCTTCCCTGGTGTTTATTATTGGGGGGGGGGGTTGTTTTAGATTTATTTGAAAGCCTATGATCCATTTTGAAACTTTAAAGTCTTATGATTTTAAACTCATTTAGTTTATGACCAGGATGAATTATCCTTAGGTTGCCTCTCTGTTAAGTATTTGTGACCTGGGTAGACTTAGTGGCCTGCCAAATTATGTAATCTGATGTTAAATTGTTTGGCTCATTAACAACTGATTGGGATTATGTGCTGTACAAGTTAATAAATCCTTAGTAGGGCTCAGTCCTCAACATCAACTTTGACAAACTTCTATTTTTCTTTAAACAGAGTAACACTTTCTGTCCACAATAACAGAAGAGCTATGTAATAGGCTCATCATAACTGCCTGCACTATTCAACTTCTTTTCATTCCAAGTTAAGTATATGAGACTCGGAATGAATCATTACAAATAGTTGCAGAGAAACTAATTGATTCAGTGGCAAGTTACGTACAATAGATCAGCAAGCTTTTTCAAACTCAGCAGTGAGAAACTTATGCGCAAAACACTGAATCAAGTTCCTCACTTGTATCCCAGTGCCAGATTTGTGATTCTCTTTGGGTAGTGTATTGGGAGTGGCTTTGTACAAAAAGCGATTAACACTGAGAGCACTCCGGGCTCCACTTTCAAGGGCTCTGTTCTCATTTATTTCCTTTTGGAGCTCATAAATGCTGAAGTGGGTAGACTAATGAAAGTTACTAGATAATTGCAGCACTAAGAATTGCTACTCTGCGAGCTCCATTTCATTGGGGCTGTTGAAAACTCCAGTAGATTGGCGGATAAAATTAGTTGCATTTTGGTCCCGTAAGAAATCAACTAGTTTTGACAAATTTAGGATCCGTTTACATCAGTGAGATTCAAGAGCAACTAACTTGGGGGTTGTCAACACCAGTGTTTACTGTATTACCTTTTAATTTGCATAGTCCACATGCAATACCCTTAAACAACACCTGTCTCAATGCTTACCTGTTATGGAGATAATCTGAAAAACTGAGGGAAATTGGGTTCTAAACCACTCTCCTCAGGGTCACAGATGGTTTCATTTGGGTGTTTTTGGCTGGGTGACTCAATTTTCACTTTCTTCCATTCCCCTGCCCATGCCCACTACTTCCTTGATGCTCTCATTTCTTTCTGCCTGTGCTCATAACTATTTCCTGTGAGCTCCTGAACGGAGGTTCTCCCCTCCACCCCAGCCTTTGATCCCCATGATTTGCAGAAAACCAGAAGACTGCAGAAGCAAATTTACAGTTGCTTGACTTGCCCACTTCATAAGTGGGTTGTTGTTTTTTTATTTAAAAAAAGCTGTCTGTGCACATGCATTGGCATAAAACAGCGGTGGCCAACTCCCAAGCGACTGCGATCTACTTACAGAATTAAAAACTGGCAGTGATCTACCCCCATTTGGGGGGGGGGTTCAGGTCAAAGTTATTGAGATTTTTTTAGGGAGGAGGAAAGCCCCGTTTTTAAGGGTTTTTTGGGGAAAAGAGGAACAGACACTCACTAACAAATTGCTGGGGAAACAAACAGCCTCACTCTGTAAACACCATCTTCTATTCTGCAGATGGTGCAGCAATGGGGGGCGGGGCAGGAATCAATTTTAGCACTGCTGAGGAAGGGGACCCAGCGATCGACCGCGATCTACCAAAACCTCCCGGGGATCTACCAGTACATCGTGATTGACTTGTTGGACATCCCTGGCATAAAATAATCAACAAATTAGACGGTAGGGACACATCCAAAAGGGAATGCCTATTAGTTGTTTCCCATGCACAGATTCAAATATAGGCATTTGTGGACCACACTAGCCTAATGTGAATGGAGAGATAGTAGATTAACAGCTAATTCATGCTCAAAATGTGGACAATCCCTTGGTGTGAATTCAACCCAATTTATGCTTCAGATAGCGTAGGTTAATTGTAGTGTTTGGTGGATTCAGCCCTCGATTGATGATCTGGCCAAGCAGTTTGGAATGGGATTAGATGTTTTTGGTTGCTTACCTTTGGTTATCCACTTTAACATACTAATAAGTTACCTGCGTTCAGTAACTTGTGGCATCTAACTGCTTCTTCTCTTCCTTCCTTTTTGTCATCCTGCAGTGTTCTGTGCCAAGGTCTTTGTGGCTAGGCTGCTCCAACCTGGTAGAGAGCATGTGCGCACTGAGATGCCTGCAGAGCATGCCCAGTGTCAGATGTCTCCAGGTGCCTTTCTTCTTTCTTGTTGTAAATGTGTTATGCTTATGCTGTGGTCATTGTCAAAATCTCACTGGGTTCAATTTAAATATTATAGTCTTCTGAATGTTTTCTGTATGATCCTCTTCAGTTTTTGTAGGAGCCCTCCTTAAGAGGGCTCTGCATGATAAAACTCCTAATTTGAAAGTAGTACACATTTTGCTCTACCTGTTGCCTCCAGTTGCGATGCAAATAAGGCTTGCATGCTGCCTGTTTTTGTTTGTGAGTTTCCACAGTAAAATCATTGGAATAACTGATGAAGGGTGGTGTGAAAATACAAAATAAATAAATAAATCTGCCAAGCAAATACAATGATATATCAGTTTAATTCCTTTCTCGACTGCATTGAATCCTCCATGTATACAGCAAATGTTCCTGAGAAAGTTTCTGTAATGTTCAGAGAGAAGAGATTTTTAGATGGAAGAAATCAGGGACTCTCTTGTGCCAGTGTTAAAATTCTTACTATAATACTAGCATGGAACCCAGTCAAATGGCTTGAGTTTCTTTCAAATAAATGAATTTATTTCTTTGTGGAGCTTGAGAACATGTGTAAATAGCAAGATCACTAGCTCTGATTTCTCTTCACAATGGTACATTTATTTTTGTATAGGTATTGCTAAAGAATAGCACATGGTAGTGGCGTTTCTTAATTTTTGAGGGCTTCGTTTGTGGACATAGCTGAACTAAGTATGGCAAATGATTAGTAATTTATTTGGGCCACTGGGATCCTTTTAAATTGTCTCTAGTGGCCAAACTCAGTGGCTTACCCACCAGTACCTTTGTCCACTTCTCGCTCTGGGATTTCACTCTGTGGGCTTAATTGGTCTTTCCCAAGTATGAGAAATAACTTTCACCTAAGTTAGGCCACAGGCCATGCAGCAGGTGGATGGGACTTGTATTTGTCCTTTGAGATTTGAGGCAGCCCTGTTCTTTCTCACTGTCTCTCTGCCCCAAACCCTGCACCTCAAAATGCACAAGGAGAATAACTAGTGTTTTTAGGGGTTTTTCCTGTTGACCCTAATAAATCTCATAAATATGAGTTGCCCCAAGTCTTCTGAAACATGAATCCTCTATGCCCACAGAGAATAGTGGAATGTTGATCATAATGTAAATCTGTAATTCTCTATGTTGGATGCAAATTGTATGTGACATAATGGATTTGACAAGGTGACTGGGTATGTTGTATGGAGGCTTTCCTGGGAATTTAAGGATACAGCCCTCCTTCTTCCATGAGTCATACAGTATAGTGAGATAAATAAATCAAATAGGTTTCCAGTCTAAATTGTTAACCAGTGCACAACAAAACGCTAACATTTGTTTACTTTCTCTCTAGCTTATTTGCACCTAGGTTGTTGATAGGAGACTTTACTAAAAAACAACAACAACCAGACAATTGGTGGTTTTTGTGGATGCTTCCACCAGTGTCATGCCTTAGGACCCATATCTCAAACACCCTGTGTTATATGACCTCCCTGGATAGTGGCAGAACTAAAACCTTTAAAATACAGTGGTACCTTGGTTTACAACCGTAATCCGTTCCGGAGGTCCATTTCTAAAGCAAAACAGGTTGTAACCCAAGGCGCACTTTCACCATTGGGGCCTCCCCAAAAAAATTGTTCCTAATCCAAAAAAAATGGGTTGTAATCCAAAAAAAGTTGCAAACCAGGACACGCACTTCCGGGTTTGACGCGTTTGTAATCCAAAACATATGCAAACCAAGGTACCACTATACAGCTATTGACCCTTATACAGTGGTACCTCGGTTTACAAACTTAATCCATTCTGGAAGTCTGTTCTTAAACCAAAACCATTCTTAAACCGCGGTGCACTTTCCTTAATGAGGCCTTCTGCCAGTGCCCTTCCACTGTTCAGCTTCCGTTCTTAGACCGAGGTAAAGTTCGCAAACGGGGACACTACTTCTGGTTTTGTGAAGTTTGTAAACCGAATCGTTTGTAAACAGGACTGTTCTTAAACCGAGGTACCACTGTATTTCATTTAGTTATCATATTCTATGTAAATAAAATAGATTTCCTTCTGTATAGTCTCTCTTCAGATGGCTCTCTTCAGTAAGTTTATAGAAATGTTAAAGCAGCCAGAACGCTGTCCCCCTGTCATTCTTAACATCACTGGGATAGCTCAGATAGTAGATCATGAGACTTTTAATCTTGGGGCCATGGGTTTGAGCCCCACATTGGGTAAATAGATTTCTGCATCGCAGGGGGTTGGACTAGATGACCCTCGTTGTTCCTTCTAACTCTATGATTCCATTGCAAAAGTGCTTATCAGCAGTTAAGTTATGTGTTAGAGAAATGCTAATATAATCCATTATTTGGTATCTTGTTATGGTATAAATATAATACCACACTATCTCTTGAAAGTAAGTGTACAAGCTAATGTTTGAGTCTGCTTTGTAGCACTGGTAGCCTGCACTGAAAAGTACACCTTATGCAAAATGTGCACTATTTATAGAAAATAGTGGCAAAGGAGTAAATAACTGATGGTATATTTTTGAACTGACACCTTCTAGCTGTGTTAAACATCAGATAATAAATTTGTTACATATCAAGGGGGAACATATTCTCTATTTTCAGTCATTAGAAAGGAAATAGTAATCTAAATATCCATTTTGGGGTTGACCAGCAGAACTTTTATCCATTGGATTGCCAAATCTTTGAAGACTTCTTCTGCTGGTGTATGGGAGACTTTCCTTGTATGTTAATTTCCTGACTACCATAAATTCAGCAAACCTCAAAAATTGAATTAATGCATACCAGGCAGTTACAGGGAACCAGGCAGAGGGCCTTCTCCATAGGGGCACCCTCCCTGTGGAACACCCTCCCTTCAGATGTCAAGGAGATAAAGAATTACACAACTTTTAGAAGACATCTGAAGGCAGCCCTGTTTCGGGAGGTTTTGAATGCTTGAAGTTTTTATTATGTTTTTAGATATGCTGTAAGCCTCCCAGAGGGGCTGAGGAAACCCAGCCAGATGGGCGGGGTATAAATAATAAATTTGTTGTTGTTATTATAATAATAATATTATTATTATTGAATCTGATATTTGTTGGACCACACATGATAAATCCACCCTTGATCATTACCTGAAAATGCATGAGCCTGCCCTTGAAATATGTATGGCTGTGTTATTTGGTGGGAGTCTATTGCAAGCATGCTTCAGAGTTTGGGATGCTATGGATGACAATAAAGGACTGCTTCGCAATGTGAGATTGTATGCATGAAAAGCAACCTTCTATTATCATTCTCCTTCTTTGTAAATGATTATCTTTTTATTGTAATTGCTTAGCTATGTATCTATTCCTTATCTCTCATCATCACTCTTATCTGTGAGCTTCTGTCACATTTGTGTATTAAATAAATTGATCTTTGTACATGATGCTCTGTACATAACAAGGAAGGTGTCATTTGACTGAGAGAAAACTACAGAACCAGAGTTTTTATGGTGTCATTCTCTGTGGTGTAACACGGAAGTGTTTTGAGACCTTTTCTGTGTGTTTTTTAAACACAAATCTGTAAAGTGGAGTAAATTGTGAAGATGGCCAGCTATTCAGAATAGTAAAATTCAAAGAAGATTATTCTCCTAAGGATCTTTTGAAATTGGGCAAGAGAATGCAAAATAAAATTCAGTGCTGATCATAAATAAATGGCATTTGGAACCATTATTCCTACACATTCACCCCCAAGTGCACACACAGATATCTTAATTGACTTTAACTATTTGATAAATACTTTGCAGTCATTTGAAAATGTCAACTGAGCAGTGTGAAAATGTCAACTTTGAGCGGTGTGATAATGAAGAAAGCAAACGTAATATAAAGAATTAAAGAACAGATAAAAAGCAAGCGATTACCATCTTAGTTGTAGATTATTAGAATCGTAGGTACAATTTGGCTACATGTACCTGCATTTCGTTGACATTGCTTTACCTCAAACAGTATATCATATAATTGGGGAAAGTATGTTTAAGAAAGGCAAGTTAAAATGATAATCCATTTATAATAGAGAAAAACTTAAAAGGTGATAAATTTGCTTTTGAGGATGTGGTAGGTGCTTATAAAATTGAGTGGTGTGGCAAAAGTGAGTCGGGGAGAGCTGTTACCTCAAAATGCAAGGATCCAGGGTTATCCACAAGAATTGTCTGACTGCAAATTGAGCAGCAAAATGAAGTTCTTCAATGTCACGGGAAGCTATGGTAGACATTGGGATAAACAACTATAAAAATGTTACATCAATGCATAGAAGTTATAAACTCTGTTAATCTGGAAGCAACCAGTTTCCTCCTTGCCCTTCCCCTATTTGTTGTTGTTACATTCCTCCACTACCAGGCAGTCGCCATGGCTCTGTTTCTGTGGCTTTAGGTGTTGTTGTTTTTAATTTTTTAAAAAATGCTAGCACTTGAATGCAGCACTAAGAAAACTCAGTTCTGGTGTTCATTCTGTCAGAACCAACTGTCTCTGGCAGAGTGGAGCAGCTTAGATTAACTACCTCTTAAACTCGTATTTTGCTGGGGGTCAAATACTAGGTTTTATTCTTTTGTTATGTAACAGTCCAGTCCAGTCCAGTGGGGAGTCAGGGGCATATCAACCACGCTTCCATTTTGTAAGAATTTGTCTCCATTGTAATAAGAGGGGGGAATTGATTAGCCTAATCCTGGGTCCTCTTGGAAGTACAAAGGAGCTTTGCATCCCAAGCCATCATTGATCTGTCCCTGCCTCCCTAAACACTCTGTTTGAGGGCCGTTCCACAGGCATACCAGGGGCCTTTGCAGTGGGCATTGCCCACCCACTGGTGAAACTCCTGCCTGCTGGCAGAGATGCACCTTCTTCCACATACATTGGTATCTCTAGCTGCGGACACAATCCGTTCCGGGGTGCCGTTCGTACCCCGAAAAGTCCGCAACTAGAGTGGCGCCTCTGCTCAAGCGCGAAGTGCGATAGGACGCTTCTGTGCATG